AGTTACCTTAAATTGACCTTTAGTTTTTTTCTGTAAGAGCTAATTAGTGTTTTTGAGTTAGTTCCAGGTGTTTTAACACACAGCATGAGCCCAAACCCAAAACTCTTCAGAGAGGTGCCGTGCCTTCCTCTGCATAAAAATTGAAGGAAGAAACACAGCCTCCTTGAAATAGGCAGCTTGCATTCTAATGGTTGAGAAAGTGCTGAGTAGCTCTGGCCGTGCAAATCAATACATTATGATGTGACAGAAGACCATAAATTGCTTCCACATTGTTACATCTTTTGCTGAGCTAAATTCTTTATGGGAATATTGAGGAAGTCACACAGTAACCACACTACTATGACTGAGGTCACGAAACCTCAGAGTACTAAGCACCTGCCTGAAGACAGTTCACAGTCTTGGAGGGAAGGAATGGTCCTGCTTCTCTGTTCTTACAGACAGGGTAAAGGGAGACTGGAGAAATGCTTGTCAGTTTTATTATTTTGGCATAACCTAAAGCCATCAGGTAAGAGCAAACCTCAACTGAATTACCTCCACACCGCTTGTATACATTGTCTGCGAGCATTGTCTTGATTGATGTGGGAGGGCCCAGCCTACTTGGGTGGCACCCTCCCCTGGCATGCCATATTGTTCTGTGTAAGCATGAGTCGCTAACAACATTCCTCCACGGTTTCTGCTTTGGGTTCCTGCTTGAGTTCTAGCCCCAGCTTTCCTTAATGATGGACTGTGACCTTCAAGTGAAAGCCAAAGAAACCCTTCCCTCCTCTAAGTGGCTTTAGGTCATGATGTTTGTCACCGTAAGGGAGAGAGCAACCCAGCACACACAGTGACTGGTCTGAATCCGGAAGCTTCTGGGGAGGACCCTGAAGATACCGATGTTAACACTGCTGGTACGTTGCAGAAGCCTGGTTCTTTGAGAATTATCTCTGATAAACTCGCCTTCCTTCAATGGTTAAAGGCTTGGGTGAGCAATAATTGCATGCCAATTAAATTAAATATCAGATACGATAAAGCAAATCCGATGAACCATCTGTGATCAAAAGTAACACATACCAGTTTTTAAAAGCAGTGTAGTTGATTTTGGATTAGGACAAATTATTGGAGTAACTGTAGTAGTCTCTCTCAGAAGCCAAAATTCAAATAGACTTATTTTAAATGTCTCAGGTGTACAGACATTATTTTGCTAATTCATTTTTTAATGATTGTTTTGTTTTGGTTTTTTTTGAAGGGGGATCTTAGGCCGCCTGGACTGACCTTGACATTGAGATTCTCCTGCTTCTGCCTTCTGAGTGCTTGGATGTTTGGGTGCTTAGATACCAAGTACGTCTCCTAATCCCAAATCCAGATTTTTTCCTTCTTTTTTTTTTTTTTTTTTTTTTTTGAGACACGGTTTCTCTGTGTAACTGCTCTGACTGTCCTGGAACTTTCTCTGTAGACCAGGCTAGCCTTGAACATAGAGATCCACCTGTTTCAGTCTCCTGAGTGCTGGAATAAAAGGCGTGTGCCATTGCCTCCCACTCCAGCTTTCACTTTTTTCTCCTCTTCACTTCCTCTGAAGTTCCTCATGATAGATACTGCCATCAGCCCCTCTCATAATTATAGGAGCAGTGTTAGCTTCGAATGTCATCAATTAAATATTTTTGCAGTCTCATGTATTGACAAGCACCGTGTAACTCACATAAACACATGTATATATGTGTGTGTGTGTATGTATGCGTATGCATGTTTGTGAGCTTGTATATGTGCATGTGTGTGTGGTGTTGATATAGCTTCCAGGTTTGCTATAGAGACAAGTGAGCAATATGATACAAAGTTTCATTTAGGTCAAAAAAAATCACCAATTAAGAATCATCATTGAATAATCATAACTTCTGTGATTATTTCCAGTTCCTTGCACAGGAGAAGGTCACCTCCAGGTCTATGTTCTCTCTACTTGTAAGTAGAGGAGCTGGTACCAGGCCTTGCTGCAGTTTCCCCTTCAATCTTGCCCCCTCTCCTAACTGACACTTTCAAGAGCATATGCTGTTTCCAACACGGGAACTCTAAACTCTTCAGGCCTCTGTTTGTTTAATCTGCCCACAGTTTCTGCACACTCCGTAGGAAATGCCACCGTCAACCATCTGGCCCTTGTTTGTTCCTTTAATCTGCCCACGATCATTTCTGCATATTCTGCAGGTAATACCACCCTGGAGGTCTGAGAGCCTGGGTCTGCCTCCCAAAGCTTCCGCTAGTCCATATCCACGCTCCAGTTCAGTCCTCTTCTTATAGGCCCATTTCAGATTCTTTTCTAAGTCACCCTGTGGGCCACCTACCCACAAGCTGTACTTCTGCCTCGGCTGCCCACTCCTGCAGATGAGCCCTGTCCCTGAGCGCTTCAACAACGTGGGGCTCAAGTGGAGAACAGCCTGTGCATCACAAGGGCCCTTACCAGCATCTGAAGTGAGTGTTGTGCACCCCTTGGTTCCGGGTACGGTTGACATTCAATCCGATGTTCACTTGGCCGAGTTGCCAGAATTAGCAAGCAGAACATCACAGAAGACTCGAGCACATCGTGGCCCCACTGCTGTGCACTGGAAATTCTTTACTGGAACGGCAGACTCGCCCTTGTGTGTTTCCCGGATACTTATTTTATCTATTATATGCAACAGATGTAGCTGGAGGCTGAGGAAAATCATGGCTATCTCATGAACTTCATGCTCAACTCCTACTGCTAATTGGTGTTTTTTCCTTTTTTTTTTCCCAGTAGAAAAGAAACATTGTAAATGTTGTTCATTTAGGTCTGCCACCCCGGGGCTATGTTGTGACTTTGTAACACCGTGTCCTAGTGTAATTCCTGTTGCGGTGATAAAATACTGGACAAAAAGCAACAAAGAGGGGTGGGGAAAGGGTCTTCTTGGTTTACAATTCCAGATTACAGCCCATTGTTTCAGGGACTTTAGGAAAGGAACACAAGCAGCTGTCACATCACATCCATAGCCAAGAGCAAAGGGAGATGAATGTATCCTTGTTTGAGTCTTATTTGTTTTTTTTAAATGGTACTACAGTCCTGGGACCAGCATATGCTACGGTGCCACACTCCATGGACTGGTCCCTCCCAGCATCAATTAAGAATCAAGGTAATGCCCCAGACACTATCTGGTCTAGCTAATTCCTCATTAAGCCTTTTCTCAGGTGCCTCTAGGTTGTGTCAAGTTGACAATTAAAGCTAACCAGCACACATGCATACATGTGTGTTCTATAAAGTGCCTACACAACACACATCCCATATACATCACACACACACACACACACAGAGTTTTTATTAGTGTGTACTAAGGAAACATACTTGTTACATCCAATAAATCAGTTTGATGATCTCTGCTATTTGCTAGCTTCAAATACATTGAATTCCTTTTCATGCGTTTTTTTTCTATAATAACCCTCTTCGGAGTAAACTGAAGAAATTAAAAGCATATTAAATTTATCAGAGGACTCTGAGGTGAGAGCCATCAGCCACTTGATTGAGAAGTCAGGAAAGGTGTGTGCTGAAGAGGCAGGCATCTGGGTGCGATCCCAGACCTATTCATTCAGAAGAGTGTAGCATGACTCTGTGCACTCTAGAATTTTCAGAAGCCTTCCAAGAGACTGTGAAGTTCTCTGTAAGTTCGGGAGCTGTTTGTTTATGGAGGTAATGTTCTAGAAAGAATTGCTTTCTAAGTTAGAGGAGAGAAATTATTATGCTCATCCTTAAACATGAACCACCAACATTTTGGAATCCAAAACGTGATTCAAAAACCTTGGATATATATCTAAAATCCATTATATTAGTGTTAAAGTACTCAGAAGTATAAATTTCCTATATAGTGATGCCAAACATTTAAAAATTTTTAAGTAGGGACTGGGGAGAAGGCTCATTGGTTAAGAGCATGACTCAGTCAATGTTCTATTATTGTGAAGAGACCATGACCATGGCAACTTGTATAAAGAGAAAACATTTATTTGGGGTTGCTTACATTTTCAGAGGTTCAGTCCATTATCATCATAGTAAGACATGGTGACATGCAGGCTGACATATTGCTGGAGCAGGAGCTGAGAGCCCTTACCTCTTGATCCAAAGGCAACAGGAAGTGAACTGAGACACTGGGTATGGCTTGAGCATATATGAGATCTCAAAGTCCGCCTTTACAGTGACACACATCCTCCAACAAATAACACTCACTCCAACAAAGCCACATCTCCTAATAGTGCTACTCTCAATGAGCTTATAGGGGTCAATTACATTCAAACTACCACAGAGCACTTACTCCTCTGGCAGAGGACCAGGGTTCAATTCCTAACACATATACAGTGCCCCACAACTGTTTGTAACTCCAGTTCCAGGGGATCTGACACTATCTTATGAACTCTGAGAGCACAGGCACATGTGTATCGCATATACATACATGAAAACACAACATTCATACACACGAAATAAATTGAATTAATTAAAAAATAATTGGCAAGCTATAATATTAAAGATATTAAAGGGCCGCTTGATAATTGAAATAGTAATTGGGAAGCTGGAGTTATCCAAAGTTGGTAGAATGCTTTCCTAGCATTAAGAAAACCTGGGTTCCATCCCACGTATGACATAAAACAGGGTGTTGTGGTCCACAGCTGAAATCCTACCACAGGGGAAGTAAAGACAGAAGTGTCAGAAGTTCAAGGTCATCCTTAGCTACACAGTAAGTTGGAGGCCAGTCTGTTTCAATTTATTTTTTAATGAAAGTAAATATACTACTGAGGTTTATGGAGGACTGAATATATTTATAAGTGATCCTTCATAGCACAACATTCTAGCACTAAAATCTAGGACTGGTGTGGGAAATCAAAGGTTTTTATTTTTCTAAGAGAGCATCATTGGTTGACTCTGTTGTGATGATGTGGTGCCTGAGCATTCTGACCCATTTGTAGAAAAAACATTGGTCAAGAAGTCTGGAGGCGTGGGTCATATCATTTAGGATCTATATTTTAACAGAGAAGAATGCTATCAACTTGAATAAGAATTGGATGCTAACGAAATGGCGACAGCTTTGCCATAAACAGGAACATGTTTTTCCATGACTAGGAAGGGGGTTGTCATAGCTGACAGTCCAAAAGGTACCCGCAGTCTATTTTTTTATATAAAGTTTAGGCTCTTTATCAATAAAACAATGTTCTATACCATTAGCTGACCTTGAAATATCTTATAGACAGATGCTTCTCTAGTGTCCGAGTGTCTGAGGCCAGCCCTGTGTTCTCTGTCACCCCCCATAGATCTTCATTCGTAATTTAATCTCACTCTGTCCATTGGTGTGAGCTAATGGGGCTTCCACTGGGTCATTCCCTGGAAGAACAATATATCAGCCCTCTCACACAAGTTCCTCCTAAGAGATAATTCAGTCAGTTATTCATCAGCCCGTAACTGTGTGTCACTTGTCACTGCACAGGGTCCTGGGAAGACAGTAATGAAAGCAGTCTAGTCAAAGGGATGCGGACTTATGTAGCCTATGCCATGAAGGCTCCAGTGACCAGGAGAAGATAATTCAACCAACCACATATGGACGAGATATAAGGAGAACAACATCCTTTCCCAATCAGTGCCTGGAGGGGTCAGGAGTGTTAGGATGGCAATGAGTAGAGGAAGGACACCTGGGAAGGAGGTGAGACTTTCCTGGAACCAGGAAGAGAAGAAGGCATGGGTGTGTGTGAGGAAGAAGGGAAGTGCAGGAAGACATAGTCCAGAATCCCAGAGGATGTCTTAGTTCCCTTTCTATCTCTGCAAAGACACTATGATCAAGGCAACTTATAAAAGAGAATGTTTATTGGAGCTCACAGTGCCAGAGGGACATGCTCACCACGGTGGAAGCAAGGGAGCAGGCAGGCAGGTATGGGACTGGAGCAATAACCGAGTGCTTACACTTGATCCACAGGCATGACACACACACACACACACACACACACACACACACACACAGAGAGAGAGAGACAGAGACAGAGAGCAAGGGTGACAGAGAGAGACAGAAAAATGGTAATGGCTTTTGAAACCTCAAACCCCACCCCTAGTGACACACCTCTTCCAACAAGGCCACACCTCTAAATCCTTCCCAAAAGTTTCTCCAACTGCCAACCAACTATTCCATGTATTTAAGCCTATGGAAGACATTCTTAGTCAAACGGCCACAAAGGACAAGCTTGCATGTTTGGTAACCAACATTCCGTAACATTCCCTTACATCACCAAGAGATCACGTATTCTAAAACTAGACGACAGAAGCCAGAGGCATGGAGGAGTTCAGGAGCTATGGGTAAAGCGGTGACTAGTTAGTGAATGGAGAACTCAGCTAAACTTCAGTTTAGAATGCTAACTCTTCCCATTGAAAGATTTTGATGCAGAATCACCATACAGCACTGCCTGTATTCTTGGCACCAAACCTTTCCTTGAGCCTTGGATGTTGCTTGGTGAGAGAGAAGCAGCATGCTCTACCCCACGAGGCCATGGGAGATGTATAGTGAGATGATGTAGCCCCATGCTGTGCGGGTCATGGCTGCCCCAACAAACCCAGGGTCATTTGCCCCTCGCTGAGCTCTCACCCATGCCAAGCGGCTGGAAAGCACACACAAAGCATGGCATGGTTTAAGGGACACAGGTAAGGAGGGTGGCAGAGAGGAAGGCCAGAGGGGCTGGGCTGGGACTTAGCAGCTATCGAGCTCAGGAACCCCAGCCAGGGCAAGAAAAAGCAAAGGCCACTCAAGAAGGACGACGTCTAGGGAAGAACTCTTGATGTCACAGTTTTACTCACAGCCCAGGCTGCTGGGGAGAAGTTTTGAGTTTCTCACAAGTCAGAAAAGATGAGTCATGTCAGGATTTACACCTCAAGTGAGCACCCGAGAAACAGGCTTCATGGCGCCACACCAACAAACAATCATCCGCTTCATTATTAAAAACAAGCTAAGAGAAAGAAAATGTTATGTTAACGTGTCGCTCAGTCCACTGGGAACAAGGCAATTATCTTCAGGATATTAAAATAATAGCTTGGCATTAAGGATGCTTAAAAGCCAAACCCATGCTATTGGATGAATAAATAATTGATCAGAGGAACTATGAAGATTTTCTTCCTTGCCTCTGAGCAAAACCACTGATTGAACTTTAGCTCTGAAATACCAAGAGGCATATTTCACAGATTAAGTGAAAGAGCTATTGGGTTGTCCCACAGACCTGCATGCCTTTCCTGCTGGCTCACCCCTAATACGGAGGAACGTTTAGAATCTAGGCATGCGATAGGTGCGTATGAGTTAGGATCGACTACAGTGTAGTTTCCCTGGTCCCCAAGTCTGGTTTCCCATCTGCAAGGCAAACACTACTCCTTCTAGCTTTCTGCAATGCTGCTTACTTCAGGCTTCCCCACCCAGCTGCACCATGGGAGAAGTTTATTTTCAACTTTCATACGACGTGAAGGGAACCCATTATTTTACTTCACACTCATTGTTTCATTGACAAGAAGCATGCATCTAAATCGTCTCCTGCACACAACAGAAGAGACGACAGAAATTTAACAATGGGTGGATTATTACTGCTTAGCATATTTATGGAATTTTAGATTCAGGAAGCATTTTACAAATCTTTCATTCGTTAATCTCTAGACTTCTCCCTGAGTCTGACAGGTAAAGAAGCGCTAAGAGTTTTAAATGGCCACGATGTGAACGTTTTAATGGGTAGGCCATCCCATTTTTCCTTTCTCTCAAGCTACCTTTTAGCCAGAGGGTGAAGGAGAAGCATGTGAAGGGGCAGGGATCACATTTGCCCCAAACAATTATTAAAAAGGTATATGCTGGGTTATGCTGCAAGCCAGGTGACAACATCAAAGGAGACAACCCCACCACCATCAAGGTAATTGATGGGTATCCCAACATCAACCATTCCTAGGGATACAACCCATGTAAACACAGATGATCAAGAGGTCTATTCTCCTAATTTTCACAGTGACACACCTGCTGAACTTTTTCTATGGAACCAGTCACTACCAAGCCTCTTAAAATTCATGTATGCGTCTATGTGGAAATACAAACCTCGTTCCAACAAAGAGAGTTATTATTGCTCGTTTTCGAGAATTTTCATGCTTAGAGACTGGAGAGATGGTTCAGCAGGTAAAGAGCTTGCATCACAAATGTCAGGACTTGAGTTTGCATCCCTGCTACCCATATGAAGTAGGATGCTGCTGTGCTCGCTCCTAAGAGGCGATGGGAGGTGGAGACAGCCCGGCCGAGGCAGCTGCAAGCAATATCAAAAGACACTGTCCACAACAAGGTGGGAGGAGATGATTGACACTTGAGGTTGTCGTTCACACAAATAGCAAGTCTGTACGCACACCTGCAAATGTATATATACACAGATAGTCACAAGTTTAAAAAAATAAATTCTTTAAATGTCACTTCAGTTTTATGTATTCCTTTTTCTTTTTTGAGACAGGGTCTCATGTATCCCAGACTTACCATCTTCAGTCCCACTATGTAACTGACGATGTTTCACCTTCTGTTCTCCTTGCCTTTATCCCTGGTGTGGGAGGTGTTGGGTTTGCAGGTGTGCACTGTCACACCTAGTTTCCGCATCTGGTGATGCTCCGGCCAGGTGGTCTTTGTGTGCTATGTTAGCACTACACCAACTGAGCTATATCCCCAGTGGACTTCTAACTTCTGATGAATCCCGACACCTACCCCTTCTCCTGATACTGTTAGGAACCTCTTCATAGCAGGGCATAGGTTCCCGGGAACCAAAATCAAGTTCTTGACCCAGATCTTTACAGAGCTGTTTTAGTTAGGGTTTCTATGACTGCGATGAGACACCATGACCAGAAGGCAAGGCAGGGAGGAAAGCATTTATTTGGCTTACACTTTAGCATTGCAGTTCATCATTGAAGGAAGTCAGGACAGGAACTCAGGGCAGGATCCAAGAGGCAGGAGCTGAAGCAGAGGCCATGGAGGGGAGCTGCTTACTGGTTTGTTCCTCATGGTTTGCTCAGCCTACTTTCTTATAGAACCAGGACTAGCAGCCCAGTGATGGCACCACACACCATGGACTGGGCCCTTCTTGACTAATCGCTAATGAGAAAATATCTTACAGATGGATCTCATGAAGGCATTTCCTCAACTGAGGCTCCCTCTTCTAGCAAGACTCTGTGTCAAGTTAACACATGAAACCAACCAGCACAAGAGCTAAAAACAAAAAACAAAACAAGACAAAAAACAAAAAACCCAAACCAAACCAAACCAAAACAAAAACAATTAAAAAAAAAAAACACCAAGAAGAATCTCCCTACGGTCACCTGAACACCCGACGAAGCCACATCCACGCAGGTGCTCTGCCCAGTGCCAGAAGCCCATGTGCGGTCCAGACTCTAATCCCTTCCCAGGGATGGTAACTTCATAGTGGAATTCCAATAGTCCCGCTGTGGGAGATCTAGTGGCACTGGATGGAGATTTTACAGAGCATGCTGGCACCCTGGCCGCGCCTCAGGGGTGCACAGGGTACAAGGTGGTGCGAAGAGAGCGCATGACATACTAGGAGGTTCGAGGGTGTGTGAAGGCGTGCTTAGGAATGGGTGGGTGGGTGTGTGCAGGGCTGTGAAGGGATGAGCAAGGGTGCGAGAGCTTACAAGGGAGTACACGTGGGATGAAGTCTAGACTCTGCAGTGCCTATGGGTGGGCTGAGGGCAGAGCCCATGACGACCATGTCAACCTGCCTGCTCTGGCCCCGCAGTTCTGGGACCTCAAGCCTCAAACCTCAGAGTTGAGACTGGCAATAGGCTTCCTAATATCATCCGCCTTTGCCATCCCCACTCCCTGCCATCTTCGAATCAGTGAATCGACCCCCACGCCCTGCCATTTTCAAATCAGTGAATCCCCTGGATCGTGGCCCATTTTGCCTGTTCCTCTCCTCTGACTGCCCCTCTCCACCACGTCTCAAGTCCTTTCTGGGCCCCATAAGCCCAGATTCTGACCCAGCAAGCTTAAGGCTTGTTATCATTCCCTGAGGCCCTCAGATATCACCCTAGGTTAGTGTCCACTGCCCATTTGTGAGATTCTAGGGGAACCCAGCAGGTCCATGGTTCCTTCCAAAGTGAGTCTGGGTAAA